CCCTTTGGCTCAGATGTTTTTACGCCTCTACTAAACTTTCAGACGTTATATGAGTGATAACTTTATTTTCGAACACGTCTATTCGCGACTTTTTGTTTGTATAGTCTTTCACAGATCTATGGATTCCTGTTGGGATTTTTCACTTCACTGACAGTGTTTGTTTATCTCCTTGTTAGTTTATTGGTCATTTTCCTGAAGTGTAAATTCAATTCCCCGCTTCTAGTGTAATGCTTGGTAGTTGATCCGTTCGCCGACGGTGGCAGTTTGTCTGTAGCCATATCGTCACCATCCGTGTGCACATCATCAGTGAACTGACGGTGTCTCCTCGAATGGTGGCTAAACGTCTGCAACTTAATTGCCAAGCAAGGTGAACAGACCAACGACCACCTAATCAACTCCCAGTGAGTGCACCCGATCAACCAATACTCTTACACATTACCAACGGAACGTTTTTGAAATGTGCCACCCTTTTTTTCCAAACAATTCATTCGTGGCCGTAAATATTTCAGTGATTCTGATCTTTTCACTCCATAGATCTATTTGAAGCACTGTCATCCTTCGATTTCATCAAACTGCGTTTTAATCCCAAATTATATGACGGCAACAGTTTTTGACGAACAAGCAAGTAATTAATAACTCCTTAGCGAAACGGTGGCTGCTGAAGTGATATATATCCCTGGTTATGTGCGGCAATCTTAAAGTGCTGCTGAAATGTGGATCAGGGAGCTGTCTCTGCGCACCAATCTACATCTGCAATGTCGTTCAGAACAAGGATCACTTAGAACAAATTGTATTTTACCTGAAGTATGTAGCGAACAACTGCCCAGGATGGTTCATAGGGAACCAAAATTCCAGTCAAGGCAATAAACGGTGAAGTGAGTCCTTCCGAAAAATTACTTGTTTGGAACTGTTTACATCAAGCCTTTGGACATACAATTTTAGGAAAAATCCTGGAACATTTCGTTGACCTTTAAAAGAAACTTACTCGTACTCCCATTTTGAATACCCAAGTTGAAAACCACAACTATAGGGGTTAGTGGGATGATGCTCCAACATTATCGAATTTTACTAGCCTACTACTTTCCACTGAGATAGAATGAAAAACAGATACACTGTTCTTTAACAGCAAAAGTAGGTACAATCTGAGTGTGACGCAGCTTGTTTTTAAAAGGGCTTCAGACTGTCTAGAAGTGACGCGATACTCATAAGGTTACTCAAAACTCTTCAAAAGACTATGACTGGCTGCGCCCCTCTTGGGGATCAGTAACTAAGCTCAGTCCTATAGTTTACTTTTTACTTGAACCCATATTGAACGAAACTCAACTTATACGCTCATCCACATATCAGTTTGGTTTTGACAAGGAGCTCAGCTTAGTCCAGTTGAATCTCTCATTCTCGATGGTCCGACTCAACCGAATATGCTGCACCAGGCCGACTAATGTTTCAATTGCTGTTTACCTACCTGAAAATATACCGCCACATCTCCAATGTCGTACCAGCAGAAACATGAGTTGGCCCTACGCAGCACATTCGGTTTAAGTGGACCATCATAAGCGAGAAGTTTAGCTGGGTCTAGTTCAGCCTCCTGTTAAAACCAAATTCGTATGCAAATGAGGTTTTAGGTTACCTGTTCACAGTGACCTGGTCCTATCTGTAAGTTCGACTGGTTCACACGAGACTATCACAAGAGGCAACAAATAATCAAGCTATCTTCAACAGTTTCGTCTACAACTGATTCCACCATAGCTTACAGGAATAATTAACAGAATGGGTAAAATTGCTACAGACGGCCAATGACAAGCAGTACTTGAAATTCCTTTAGGTTGCTACGCCTACCTCCCAACTACATCAAGGTCATTCTACAAATGTCGTTGGGTATAGGGTAAACTCCGGAGATTCGCAATAAAAACGATATCCATAAACTTTCCTTTTCATGAATGTCTTCTGGGTAATTCACGAAAGCAGCCAATATGGGTATATACGAAATGGGAAAAAAATTTCAACAGGATATTCCAGTAGTACAACACTCCAGAAATTTCTGACATCTTATTGCGCGAATAGAACACATTCGTAGTCGACAAAGTCATTTCCTTATCAAGTAAGCCCGTGTGTCCGAAACGTATAGACTTCGGATGTTTCATGAAATCCATTCAAAGACAAAACATTATTGACGAAAAAACACCCACCAATACCCATAGGGAGACCACTATATTCCTTACAAGATTCGTAGAAGTTATTTTACCTCTGGGGAGGCCATTGGTCGAATTTCAAAAGTCCTAGGACTCTTTGACCGCTGAATGGATTCACGTCACAAGAAGTCGATCAACACACCCATCTATCACAAATACGAGGAAGAGCACCTTTCAAGAGCCGTGTGGAAGTGGCATATTTCAGTGCCTGGATGATCAAAAAACACGTTTGGAACACAGCGAACTGAAATGAACGGTTGTTTTAAGTACAAACTTCAAATTATATTGTGGTAGTTCAGTAGATCCTAAGCCCACCCTTATATTTTGGCGGATTTCAAGTTAGCTTTCCTTGCCCTTGATGTTGCGTCATTTGTCCCTATGTTCGGGCACTAATCAGTATGGTTTCACTGTAGCCCATAACTTAATTGTCACACAACTTAGCAATCCCAACGAAAGATACACTAGTAGGTGCAACATACAAGCTCGAAAGTTTTCAAGTAAAAGCACCTGTACCTTTTCCACGCCATAAGCAAAGCGAAACATATGGTGACAATGACCATCATTCCGTGATTAAATAACCGTCAATTGTAAAGATGTAGTGAATAGTTGTTTGGCTTAGCCCACCAAATAACCACACTGCACGTGAATGTCATGCAAATTTAACTATATTCTGATAATGGCTATTTTGATCAAATAATCACAAAATTACCCACAGTTTATCCACATTTCTAGTTAATTAACCATGTGTTGTACATTGTATTTCCAACAGTTCAGTTTCTAGCCACATTCTAAGCACGCTGTATGGTGAATAACCACAAATTTATTAAAGCGTAACGAAAAGTTTTTGGTTAAATAGACACATCTAACCACTTATTCCGGCTGTATAACGAATTCCGCACTTTGATCGGACGAAATTGTCACTGTTAACCAATCATGAAACAACTGCTCGTAATATGACCTCCATTCAAACACCATTAGCCATTAGGTGTAGTTAAAAGTGAGCCGAGAGATGTATATTCGTAATGCACTATTCATTAGCTTGCTGAACATTCTTCAACAGCCCACGGCCGATTTCACTCTTCTTCGGGCTCATCAGGTAGGCGCAGTCCTTGAGTTTCCGCCAACCTTATGTCCTACGTGAAACCAAATTTCACGAAATTGGCGAAATATACTCATTTGCAAACAAATTTTTGTTTTGCGAGAGGCTCGTCTGGAACCCAGCTGAATATCTCGTTTGTGATGATTTCAGGAAACTGTATGTGCTGCACCAAGCCGCCTCATGTTTCAGTTGCCACGATATTCGAGATATCATGATACATGCATATACGTAATGCACTACGCATAAGGTTGCTGAAAATTTTTCGACAGCCTGGAAACATCACAAAGGAGATATTCAGCAGGGTTGCAGGTGAGTCTCTTGTACAACTAAGTTAGTTTGCAAATGAGTGTATTCCGCTGGCTCAGAAGGACAGTACAAAATAGTTTGATTGTTTCTGCCGTGATTCACTATTCGCTCTGGAATATTACATTGCTTGCACTATGGGGGAGTAAGACCTGATTGCATTGGCTGACGGTGATAATATATGGGTGACTCACAAATGCTCTGCCTACTGTTGCATCAGACTACTGTAACATAGCCCTTTACCGGGCAGTTTGCTGTGGTGGTTTATCATAACCACTATATTCCTTACAAGATTCGTAGAAGTTATTTTACCTCTGGGGAGGCCATTGGTCGAATTTCAAAAGTCCTAGGACTCTTTGACCGCTGAATGGATTCACGTCACAAGAAGTCGATCAACACAACCATCTATCACAAATACGAGGAAGAGCACCTTTCAAGAGCCGTGTGGAAGTGGCATATTTCAGTGCCTGGATGATCAAAAAACACGTTTGGAACACAGCGAACTGAAATGAACGGTTGTTTTAAGTACAAACTTCAAATTATATTGTGGTAGTTCAGTAGATCCTAAGCCCACCCTTATATTTTGGCGGATTTCAAGTTAGCTTTCCTTGCCCTTGATGTTGCGTCATTTGTCCCTATGTTCGGGCACTAATCAGTATGGTTTCACTGTAGCCCATAACTTAATTGTCACACAACTTAGCAATCCCAACGAAAGATACACTAGTAGGTGCAACATACAAGCTCGAAAGTTTTCAAGTAAAAGCACCTGTACCTTTTCCACGCCATAAGCAAAGCGAAACATATGGTGACAATGACCATCATTCCGTGATTAAATAACCGTCAATTGTAAAGATGTAGTGAATAGTTGTTTGGCTTAGCCCACCAAATAACCACACTGCACGTGAATGTCATGCAAATTTAACTATATTCTGATAATGGCTATTTTGATCAAATAATCACAAAATTACCCACAGTTTATCCACATTTCTAGTTAATTAACCATGTGTTGTACATTGTATTTCCAACAGTTCAGTTTCTAGCCACATTCTAAGCACGCTGTATGGTGAATAACCACTAATTTATTAAAGCGTAACGAAAAGTTTTTGGTTAAATAGACACATCTAACCACTTATTCCGGCTGCATAACGAATTCCGCACTTTGATCGGACGAAATTGTCACTGTTAACCAATCATGAAACAACTGCTCGTAATATGACCTCCATTCAAACACCATTAGCCATTAGGTGTAGTTAAAAGTGAGCCGAGAGATGTATATTCGTAATGCACTATTCATTAGCTTGCTGAACATTCTTCAACAGCCCACGGCCGATTTCACTCTTCTTAGGGCTCATCAGGTAGGCGCAGTCCTTGAGTTTCCGCCAACCTTATGTCCTACGTGAAACCAAATTTCACGAAATTGGCGAAATATACTCATTTGCAAACAAATTTTTGTTTTGCGAGAGGCTCGTCTGGAACCCAGCTGAATATCTCGTTTGTGATGATTTCAGGAAACTGTATGTGCTGCACCAAGCCGCCTCATGTTTCAGTTGCCACGATATTCGAGATATCATGATACATGCATATACGTAATGCACTACGCATAAGGTTGCTGAAAATTTTTCGACAGCCTGGAAACATCACAAAGGAGATGCAGGGCAGGGTTGCAGGTGAGTCTCTTGTACAACTAAGTTAGTTTGCAAATGAGTGTATTCCGCTGGCTCAGAAGGACAGTACAATTTGATTGTTCCTGGAAACATCACAAAGGAGATATTCAGCAGGGTTGCAGGTGAGTCTCTTGTACAACTAAGTTAGTTTGCAAATGAGTGTATTCCGCTGGCTCAGAAGGACAGTACAAAATAGTTTGATTGTTTCTGCCGTGATTCACTATTCGCTCTGGAATATTACATTGCTTGCACTATGGGGGAGTAAGACCTGATTGCATTGGCTGACGGTGATAATATATGGGTGACTCACAAATGCTCTGCCTACTGTTGCATCAGACTACTGTAACATAGCCCTTTACCGGGCAGTTTGCTGTGGTGGTTTATCATAACACAATGGACTATACGTGTCGCGCTTCAGTTCTGGTCTGAAAGAGGGGATGCTCAGTACATTGAATGCAAGAATTAAAAGATTTGGATAGTACCTCCCGGTAGACCTGCAAACAAACGCGTATCAGGCTGGATTCTGTGGCGTCTATTGTGCATGATAGATGTTCATAGATGGCCAGAGATAATGAATTGAACAGACCACTGTCCAGTGACATAAAAATGTTTTCAAAAACTCTGACTGAGGCTATTGACTGAATGTTGTTCAACTGATGACATTGAACACAGAACTGTCAGTGTTCTGAAGGATCACATTTGAACCAGACGCAATGTACTCCATTCGACAGAGATAACTCTTTATTGCTCTACACCAACCCAGATGTTTAGAGAGAGGTAATATTTTGGCCTCTTCATTGTTCTGAGTCTGAGCGTATAACTTCCAATACCCTACTCCTAATCATTTACAAATGTTGCTGTTCTCTGAACCTATCCTGATTCTAGGGCTTTGATTTGACTTCGTGAAGTAACACGTCCACCCAACATTTTAGATGATCCTTCTGGGCCTCCTGGTTCTGGTTATCGGTCTGAGCACAATAATCTGTCCCGTATTACTGTCTCTGGCCAGTTCGCTTCCAGATCTTATTTTCTTAGGTGATTGCATGTGATGTCATCCCATGAGCTTCCTTGATCAAAGTAAGTCCTCAGAGAAGTGCAGCAGTTTGCAGCTCATTGTGCAAAGTTGGAAAATCTGTCCGTTCCATGTTCGCAGACATTCTTCCACAGGCCTCAGTTTACGTTAACGGCCTTGGGGATAAACTGTTTATTGTTCGGAAGAAACCTCATGACTTCATCTCTTAGTTACTGAGTTATCCGTAATTGTTGTTGGTTCATGCCTCTTCCGTCTTCAGAAACTTTAGCCTGGTCGTTTCTCCTCTTCCTTTATCCTGTCGACTTGGTGGTTATGGGATGCCAGCAGTTGGCTAACAGAGTTGCACAGGGTTCTGCTCGTTTCGAGAGGAACAAGAATGCTCTGACTGCTGTTAATGCATGCCTGAATGTTGTACTTAACCCATATTCGTTCATTCATACCATCGTTCATTCGATCATATCGGCTACAAAACTGTCGCAGTATTTGCATTTCGTTAAACCTTCTAAGACGAGAGGCTCGTTAGTCGTGGCTCTATCCTAACGTATTGAGTCTAAGTGAGTAGAGCACAGTTGACTAAGGATTTATGTGACTAAAATGCATAATGGAAAGAACTTCAAAAAATCGAGTTGTGAGTTGCTGCTTCTGGAATATTCATCACGCAGCCCGGTTTTCAAAGGGGAGCTTGCGAACTTTAATTGCGAACTTTAATTGCGAACTTTAATTTAAATTAAAATAACAGATAGGCCTAGTGACCACATACTGCAACTCACCTGAATGAGGCCGGGTCTACTGCTGAAGGTAGTCCCTTTAGAACAACTAATGACGTCGAATCTTTTTGTAGTCTTGGTTTCACACTTCGACATAAAACTGCACTGTTCAGGTGTACGGTTACGCTGCGCAATTTGCAATCTCCTGTGTATATTATATTCATGGGTCCTTCAAAGTCTGCGGGAGGATATTCTGATGGTTCAGGGGTGGCTAATGTAGCACATGCCATATCATCCACTTCAAAAAGCATAGGGCAAATTAACCACGATGTAGACGGAGGTAAATATATTCGTGCCAGGCCACCCCCTGGAAATAATTATTATATCCCGTGCACCAACACTGGTGCGCTGAAATTCATGCTGTTATGGTTGCACATCACTTCAGACTAGGGCATTATTCTCTATTCGAAGTTTTTTATTCTAACCCACCACTACTGAAGGACACGTAAGAATTGAAAACCTGAATCAGTTCATGACAGCGGTATGTGTTTAAACGCTCCAGAAGGCCTCGAATGCGAGCGCGCTGTTTAAAAGTTATATGCAGCGGAAAGTTCAAATGATAATACTTCAGGGTGCCTGCTGATTGGTTCATTTTTGGCCCACATATTTTGCGCGGGAGTTTGAAAATAAATCACTTCGGTCAAGTTGCCAAACGATATTCTGATTTTAGTTTAGTATAATGATGACAGCGCCGGCGAAAAATTGACTCATGGTCAGTTCTAACCACAGTGGTCGTGAAAGCGCGCTGCTACTGGCAAAAAACGCTACTAGGGCCATAGAAATTCAGTTTTTCTTCCGTGTAAATACTTCCTATTGGTGCGATTCTAGAACTATGGACATCGACGTTATCGCGTCACCTACTGTCACATTAAAAAATGATGCGGAAAATCGAGCTGACCCCCAGAGATATCGCCTTGGTACCACACACAATTAGATTGAGCCAGTTTGAATGCGAATTCTAGGCGCTGTTTTCCTGACATACTTCGACCAATGATAGCTCAGCATTTTTAACACGGAGCGCTTATGCGGCTGACCAGGCAAGGTGGCGCGGTGCCACACGTTTTCTTAATTCCAGTACGATGTATGGTGGCGTCAACTCCTTTTCCGTGATTGAACCTGAGTTTCAGAGTCGGATCATCTACATCAGTTTGATTTTTTAACTAAGTGGCGATTCGAACACCATGAACCCATTTTCATTGGTGGCGGAACTTCCCTGTGTTCGCTAACCTCTGTAGAGTATATCAAATGCACATGCATTAATTGGCGCAGGATTCTAGCAGACAATTTTCTCCCCGCGTGGATGGACATCCATACCATTTTATTGGCACGACTGACTGGCTTGTTTGCTAACATCTGCGTACGAGAATGTCCCCTTCCTTTGACAAGACTACCCCTAATTCCCACCTCGATAAAAGTCTGGAAAATGTGTTTGAGACCACTGAAGGCTGTCTCACAAACGTCAAACTTCCCAGTGGACCTCCTTGACAACTTTACCTCCGGTCTCCAACTAACGCGCCGTCGTTCAAACAACGAAATGTCTTTCGCAATCACCGCTGTTTCGTCATTTATGTTTTCCCGACTTGACAAAGCATGGAGCATCGTCGCGTATATAGACGGCCAATGATGACAGTTTTCCTTGACATCAAGATTGCCTTCGATTACTTCTTGCGCGGGACTGATATAATCGGCGGATCGGACAAATTCAGCAACATCCTGGGGGCCATTTGCGGACACGTCAGTTCGCGCATTTTAATTGATCATTTAGGATTATACGCATATACAACTATTTCCAAAGTAGAATAGGATCGTGAATGTAGGAATGAGTACCGACTATTGGACCTGTTATGCCAGACGAAGCTATTGAAATCCCACATCATGCATCTGGGTTTGGATAACCAGACAGTATTTGAGCCCTCGTGCTTACTCCGGGTAGCAAACCAGCTAAGCATGGGAAGCGTGTTGCAACAACGTTTTTTGTGGGCGGGGTCTTTTGTAGATGCCTACACGAAACCTAAACACAATGCGATGGGGTACGTTAACTTACAGCTCAAAACAATAGATCACTGCAATACAAATGCACAGAATAGGTTCGACACAGCGACGAAAAGAGTAAAAAAAGATAATCACTCACCCGTAACATCCTTTCGGTGCCTAGCTGCCATGCCACCAGAAGGAGGTACAAGGGCTGGGATCATGCCAGGTTGCCCAACCCTAGACAGGGTGAGTTGAGAGGCAGAGGTTGGTTTCAAACCACGGACCTGGTCAGCAGATTCACGTTCTAACCGCATGAGCCATCTCGCCCCCAATGGTTAGACGTCTGACGAACACTGTCTGCTGGCCCTCCAGGTTGGGGGTTGGAACGTGTGTGGCGACTTGTTCCACAAAAATGGTAATGTATTTATATTTCCAGTCCAATACCGCTGCCTTGCGGCTAGGCTTTTGAGCCAAAGGCTTTAGTTGAGGACCCTAATCGTTCTCGTGTCTTGGTGTAGGTACCCCGGCAGTATCTTAGACCCCGTACAACCATGACGTTCACAAATAAAAATACTCTCATGCCACATCGGCTGTCGCATGGTGCCATTAGCCGAACCGCCTTAATTGCTGCATACAACATCGTTCAGCTGTAGAACCCCTTCGGTGCCTAACTGCCATACCGCCCTAAGGGAGCACGAGGGCTAGAATACTGCCAGATTGCCCAAGCCTAGTCAGGGGAAGTCGAGAGGCAGAGGCCGGGTTCGAACCACGGACCTTTCGGTCAGTAGATTCGTGCTCTAACCACTTGAGCCATCTCGCTGCATACAGCAGGACGGGTAAGCGAAAACATGCTACTACTGTAGCCTCTCTTGTTAGACTTTCACGTTTTCTGTCTTCCACCCTTCCCCGCCCAAATTTGAACAATTTCTCCACAGGTCCCACCATCAGGACTAACCGTTTTACCCGCTCTGCATCACACTTAGCTGCAGCTTCTGTACGTCCGAGTTAAGTCACAATCCTAGACACTTCGAAGTCTGTTTTCAAACCCCGAAAGCCTGTCTACTTAGTCGCCTCTAGTGTTCACACACTGAAGCAAGCAGGTCAACAGGTGGCTCTTGTTGCACACTGAATTCCATTTGCATTGATGTATGTTGTCTGCCAGAAAGAAGGACGGAGTACGTAAGTACTGTGATCGAACTGACTGCCCCTTCGCTATCTTCCAGGTTCCGGTTGCGCACCTCGGATGATAGTTCCGGTTGCGCACCTCGGATGATGCAGAGGCCACTGCAACTGGATATGCTGGGACAGGTGTTGTATTGAGCGACCGAGCGGAAGCGCCTCTGCTTGATTGGATACCCGTTTGGCAACAACTGGGAGAATCTAGAGGAAGTGAAGTCCCTCGCACCCCGTTTATTGTGTCTGCTTACGCCCCAACTGGCTGTAGCTCTGATCTGCCAAGGACAGTCTCCATGACGCTCTAGGCGCCCTTCTACAGCAAGCTAAAAGTTCAGAAATCGTTGTGGTTGCTGTTGATACGAACGCCCAGGTAGGTTGACCAAGTGCTGCTGGGGACCGATTGGGTGGTCGTCTTGGATTGGACAAAAGAAGCATGGGCAACGGGGATCGCCTGCTTCAGATGTGTGCCTATCAAAGACTGTCCCATTGCAGTGCGAATCTTCGAAACAGCCGAAATCGCTTGACAACGTAGTGTCCACCAATAAACCAGCCCCGAATCCAAAGAGACCATATCACTGTCAGCTATCGGTGGCGGGGGTCGATCGCCACCTATCGCTGCTTCTGAAATACCAGCGTGGACTCCGACCGTGCACTTGTACGCTGCTGCTTTTCATTTCGCTTTTCAGGTGTATGCAAAACGCGCACACCCCGCTGGGCCACTGAGAAGCTAGTGGACCCAAAAGTCAAACGTGAATATCAGAACCAGCTCCTCAAACGCCTTTCGGGCGGCACGATGTCGGACATAAACAGCCCCTGGGGGAAAATATCCAAAGCGCTACTCAAAACCGGAATGCCTGTGTGCGGTACAACCAACCAACCTCATCCAAACATGGGATCTCTGATAGGACCATGTCTTTGCTGGAGATCCGGCGACAAATCCCACCTTGCCGCCACCACAACTTCACCCGGCGCATCATCCGACGCCAGGTGAAACTGAGTGTCCGCGCAGACCGAAAAGCTTGGTGGACCCGAAAGGTCGAAGAAATGGAAGATGCAAAGAATGCTGGAAACGTGCGCAAATTGTTCCAGTTGATTCGTTCGACTGGTCCTCGGAAACCTCTTGTTAGTGAAACAATCAGGGACCAAAATGGCTCCCTGATATGCAACAAAGCAGAGCGTTTAGACCGCTGCGGACAGTACTTCGAGCAGCAATTCAGTTGGCCATCTGCTACCTCCAATCCAGAAACCCGGCCCTCAACAGAAAGGTGGACTGCAAATATGGAGCCGCCTTCAGTCTCCGAAGTGTCCGAATGTATTTCCCTACTCAAGTGTAATCCTACTGCTGGTCCTGACGACCTTCCACCTGCTCTTTTCAAACTTGGATTCCGTAACCAGTGCCTGTCTAGCCTATTTGGGTTTATCTGGAAGGAGACCGTTCCAGACACCTGGAGTGAATCGATAGTAGTGCCCACTTTCAAAAAGAGTACTCGCTCTGGATATGGTAATTACAGTGGTGTTAGTTTGTGACAAGGCTTCTGGCGTCACTGATTCTTCAACGTTTTTTGGTGACACACGAACCGCTGACTAGCGGGAATCAAAAGGGATTCCGACCGGGTAGAGGCTTCGTTTACCACATCTTCACACCACTGTGTCAGGTGTTGAAGCAACGCCATATGTATAGACGACCCACAATCTTGGTATTCCTTGACTTCGGGAGTGAGCTCGATTCTGTCGATCGGTCAGTACTGTTAACTACACTTGCTCGACAGGGTATGCCCCAGAACACGTATGAACATAATCCGATCCCCATACTTACATACTTCTGGGTGGGTGAGAGTGTATGATTAACTCTCCAAAAGCTTCGCTACGAGAAGTGGTGTCAGACAAGGATGTCCACTCTCCCTATTCTTGTTCAACTTCGTAATTGATGAAGTAATTAGGCGAACACTGGACAGTCTTCAAAATCCCGGCGTTAGAATTGTTGCTGGTGAGAGGCTTGTCGACCTGGAGTATGCAGATTCCATCGCCCTCATCCTTGAAGACCACAGTGAAACGCAAGCCCTGTTGAGTAGACTGACCGTCATCATACCATCTTTTGACATGCGTCTTGCACCTTCAAAGTGCGAAGTCGTCTTTCAAGACGTTCAGTCTGCGAACATATCCCTTTCCATTCAAGGAGAATCTTTGGAGGTTGTGGAAAATTTCACATACCTCGGTCGTTGTGTTAGCTCTGGAGGAAATGTGTCTGCCGAAGTCAATGCAAGAATCCCAAAGGTTCAAATAACTGCTAATTTGTGTCACTTGTGGCGTCGAAGAGGCATGTCACTAGATCTTAAGGGCCGCGTTTGCCAGGCTACGGTAAGGGCTGTGTTGTTGTATGGACCACCGGGAACTATCATTCGCCATTGCAGATCTTCGTTCTCTGACTCTTCCCCACACATCTCTCACCTAGCAGTTGCTCCGTATCTAAGGTTCTATCGATTGGAATAACAAAATCAATGTATCTGCTAAACACTACAGCTTTTTACCATCTTTACTCTGTCACGTTGTGCAACAGACAGCTCTTGCTCAAACTTTTCTCTCTCTATCGATCGATATATGTTGTTTTTTGTTATGTTCTTTACTAATCAGTCACTCAACCTTGTCAGTTACACACGAAATTGAGAAGACAAAAAGCCTTGAGGAAATTATACTGCAGCAACTGGACAGCCAATATCGAGATTCGAAGAATCAAGAATGGAATGGAACAAACAGTCCAATGAAAGGCTGAAATAGAGAGAGAAATGTTGAGCAATATGTTCGTTAGGAGGAGTGCCTCCCAACACCTCCCCTTTGAAGTCATTGTTCGTACAACTGAAGTTGTGGGTTCAGTTGCATTCGTATGACGGGCTTTCTGATCCGGTCGGTCCATCTTTTGGGTGTACAACATTTGGAAATTTCTAGTTCATTCATCGGCTCTGGAGATTTTGGCTGTTGAGCTAACTCAAATGTGTCGAGAAGAGTCTCCAGTGGAAGAACAGGGTCGAGTGTAGGTGCCGCTGGAAGATAGGAAGC